AGTGACTCTTACGCTTCTTTCGTGCTTAGCAACCTCCTGCGTGCATCCATAACTCAATAGTGTACGCTGTGGTGTTTACCATTTGTTAATTAGATCTAACTGTTAGCCCCCTAATATACTTGCATGACTGTGTAGTTGGCTTGAATCATCAAGGTTGTTAACTGGTAGACTAGTGATAGTGCAAATATAGAAAGTGAAACAAGTGAAACTGTCATCTGGATGAGGACATGCAAAAGTCAACATGAAGTTCTTGGAAATAAACATACAAACTTTTTTCACCCTTTATTGCCTGAGAATGACCTGCATCTAATTTCCCCTTTCTGTTTTACCCACGAATCATACATTAAAGTCACAGGAACAAAGGAAATGATCGCCATTTTAAAAAAGCTCTTAATTGTGGAACAAATTCTGCTGATCAGTTCCATAGGAACATGTATGGTAGAAAACAGTGTGGGGAAAATGCATAATGATGTTAGGATGCACTTCAAGGGTTATAGATCAGAGTAGAGAGGCAAATGAAGGCTTAAACAATGGCGCACACTCAATCTTGCTAATGCCATTTCTTTTTGTAGCTAATTTGGTTAGTTTTCATTATGATGGTCACATGTTAAGCATTTCTCTTTTCTGTATAAAAAAAATAACAGTGTAAAAATAAAGAGCCTTGAATTAATCAGTGTTATCTTAACTGGGGAGCCGGGATGGTGCAGTGGTGAAGGCACTCGCCTCCCACCACTGTGGCCCGGGTAGAATTCCCGGACCTGGCGTCACAAGTGGGTTGAGTTTGTTGTTGGTTCTCGTCCTTGCCCCAAGGGTTTTTCTCCAGGTCCTCCAGTTTTGCTCCCTCCGCAAAAACCATCATTCCAAATTCCAATTTGATCTGGAAACAGTGGACAAGAAGAACCACCCAGTGGATGTCCATTGCTAAATTATTTATTATTTATTTATTATTATTAACTGAGTATGTTTGGGTTTTCATAACTTTTGAAGTTGGAAGGTTGCACAAGTTAAATTTAATCAGAATAGTTAGAGGTCAGCTGGAGACCAGACTGAATCAATAGTAACTGTTTATTAATTTACACTATTTGTTCTTTGATTTCAGTGGAATTATAAAGCAATTTGGGAATCATGTTGCAAGAATAGCTGTTGTTTTCATGATTTTTAGTACAGGGATGTTTATATCTGCAGCTGGTAAGTACGAGTACTGGGTGGGTATTTACTGTAAATACCAGTAATTCTGTTTTGATTCAAAACTTGCACACCAGTCTTACATTTACTCAAGAGTTCAAATTGAAATCAGGTTGATTTAAAACACCATAATGATTAAAGCTTACATTTTAACCCCAACATTGCATCTTTTGGATCTTGATCTGTACTGTGCCTTTTACTACATGTAGTTCTATGACGGTTTTTTGTTTTGGTTCCCCAAAGCATTTCTGCCGAGTACATTTGCTATGTACATGGTGATTTTATCATATGGAGGATGGTTTTCAGGAAATTATGCAGTAAGTTATTGATCAGAATAAACATTTTTATATTCTGACAGAATTCACAAATATTGCTTACTTTGTTTTGTATACTGCTACTGAATGTTCATCACGCAGTAACTATATAGTTACTATATAGTTGTAAATTTTTGTATACAATTAATATTTTGTTAGTAAGCCAAGTAGATGTAATTTCCATAAAAAATTATAAATGCTTTCCTCTTTACTAAAATGCAACAATTTTTTTGTTAAAACTTTTAATTGAATGAAATAGTGATGACTGTAATTTTTTTGACGACTTTGTGTCATATAAAAATTTCTTGGACTCAGGATCTATTTGAGATAATCTGTGATGTAAAAAGTAGTTCACTGGACTGTATATTGAAAGTCAGAGTGACTCATGATTAAGCCCAAAATTGACTAGTGATGAGTGAATTTTACAAAAAGGCAAACAAGGTGCGATTTGAAGTTTTTCCTTAACTTTGCAACTAGTGAAATGCTGTTTTAAGTACATGTATGGGATGGGATCATGAACCCCCTTTGCAGCCTACCCTGTTAAAGGGAGTTGGATTTATGGTTGAGTTGGTTCATTGTTCTGTGTTACAGGTGTTTGATCCCACAATGCATGTTTTGTCATAAAGATGCACAAGTGGAAAAACTCAGCTGGTTTTTTTAATAGCAATGTAAACTGTATTTTGCTCCGATGAAGGGCTAATGCTCAAAATGTTGCTTTCAAACACCTTACAGTGGCCAATTTACATTATTTATCAACTCAGTCGATAAAACCAAATTACCTTAAAAGTATCACCAGCTATTTAAAAAATTTTGAGGGAACATGCCAAAAGTACCAAATATGTCTTGTAATACTGTGGTGCTCTATTTATTATTTTTATCCCAGGTGGCAGTCCTAGCAACAGCGTCTGGTGCACTAATTGGCTGGCCTTTTAGTGCAGTTCTTGGGTAGGTGCAGATGTCCATGTATTGGTGTTAAAATGCTTCTTGACTGAGTTTGGTCAAACCAGATGGGGAAAATATTTTGTTCAGGGTTATGACTTATGGACTAAATCCAGCAAGGTCCATGCATTGCTGACCACAACCCAAACATTTTCTTGTACGGCCCAACCCAAATTAGCCAACAAGTACATAAAATTTTGGGTTTCTTTGAAACTCTCCTATCAGTTCCTATTAAATGTGCACTGACTTGATTCTATTGATTCTTTTTTTCTTCTTTTGTTTCAGTGTTCCTATTGCATGGGACATCCTAGTCCGACAAAGAAAAATAATGTATTTTATACAGTTATGCCTTATATCAATTATAGTATTTTTGGTGAGTACCTCAGACAGATAATTTACGGCATGCACACATTTGCAATCAAAATTATTTATTAATTCAGTAATCAGTACAAACTTCAGTTTTGTCCTTGAATACATGTCAGTGTGCAAATGTTTGTACATGTAGCAGTACATGTACCTAGGCATGCTTGTGTAAAAAATATTCACAAGTGAAAAATAATAGAAAATGTCAAAATGATGAAAAAATATTCTTAATAGTGCTAAAAAAATCTAAATGTAGTGCCTTGTACAGACTTTGCAATACATCAATCATGCTAGTTTTGAGTATTTTGAACTGTGTGAGTGACCACTTTATACTTCTTACTAACCAAATTCAATGTTTGTACTGTAAATTATGGACCAAATTTTTTGTGCTCGTATGTATGACCCAAATGCAAAGTCCTTGGGCTATAACTTAGATGTGCCATTACTTACAGTACTGACTGAGAAAACAAGGTGAGTAAGATAGTTACTAGTAATATTGTATATCTTCAGGTTCAAATAGTGGGAGAACATTTCAATTCCAACAAACTTTTGAATTTAGGCCCTACAGTGAAATACGGCTTGCCAAATTAACCAATCATGGTGCACATACTAATAGAGTGATGTAATAAACTATGTTATGGCCTGCAAGCAGGCACTCATTGGCCCTGCTTCGCAATAAAGAAGCCCGTGACAGTCTGTGAGCTGTGTAGGTTGAAAAATGAGATTGCTCTCATTTCTTGTGCCAGACACCTTGTTAACCTCCTGCTGGTAAGCTAGGGAGCTGTGAACTTTGGCAGACTTTTTAGAGAGGCCGGCTATAGTTGTAGATGCTCTTGTAGCAGTGCCAATGGGAGCCTTCTTGCAATGGCGAACTATGTAATGGCACACTGTGACAGCCAATGGAAACTGTGCGATAAAATACACGTAACTAATGTTTAATTTGTTTATTTCTTCTTCATTTAGGGACCTTTAGTTTATATAGATTCCTTTTTCTACGGCAAAACAGTGATTGCCCCCTTGGGTATAGTGCTGTACAATGTGTTTGGCAAAGGCGGCCCAAGCCTTTATGGTAAGGTTTGAAGGATGGTATATATTACACACTGAGTAACAATGCAATGATATAAATGTGCCTGGGAGGGGACGGATGGGAAGAGAGTAATTTCTTTAATGTGTTTTGCATACGCTGATTGGCAAAATTGATTTCTTGTAATAAATACTCCTCAGTTGAATTTGTTAAAGGGAGCTAGGTAAGACTGCTTTAACTACTATCTGCCAGGCAAAGTTGTTAAACTTTGTACTCTCACATCAGTATGTATTTTCTCCGTACTGTTCTCTTTAAATTTTCCTGAGGTACAGACGGGGAGAATTTGTTTGACAATCAAGAGGTGATATTGTAAGGAGAAACTACATCCTAGTCATTCTTGGTTGATTAAGTATAGGAAATCGGCCGTGATTTAACTTTATCCGTGGCTGGAGGAAACTCTTGAATGGAGGAAACTCTTATTTTCAATTTTTCCTTGAAAAGGCAAAAACTTTCCTCTGTTTAAGTGAAGTACAAGGAGAATAGTAGGTCAATTATAATTAATAAAGTGAGAGGGAGAAAAAGAAAAGTGTAGACCACCTTTGGCTAGGATGAAGCTGTCTATTTTCACAAACGTCTTTTTTATTTAGGGAGATCACATGGTATATGTCGCTTTTTACTTTACAGGCGTTGAGCCATGGTCATTTTACTTCCTAAATGGGTTTTTGAACTTCAACGTTGTATTTCCCATGGCGCTCCTGGCTTTACCCGCCTCTGTAAGTTTTTAAACTTGACGGAATGAACAGTCAACCAGACCTCATTTATTGATAAACTGCGTGAAATAAATTCCACACAGCATTTAATCATTTTGAAAGTTGATGCACGCTTTGTGCAGCTTAGATGGTTTGAACGAGCGAAAATAATGCAAAACACTTCTACATTTAAACGATGCACTTGTAGTGTGAGTCACAATTTGGTGTCTGCTTGTCTCAAAAGTTTCTTTAAATGGAAAAGGATGTGACTTTGATCGAAAACATTTATTCCTTGGATGTCAGGGGTTTCTGAGACCGTCCTTAGAGAACAAGACACAGTACACTTTGTACGTATGATGCACGTATGATGTATGCACGTATGATGTATGCACGTATGATGTATGCACGTATGATGTATGCACGTATGATGTATGCACGTATGATGTATACGTATGATGCGTATCCTTGCTCTCTACTGCGAGGATTGTGCATCATAAGTATCTAATACCGCAGTTCAAAATATATGAACTTCATATATTCATTGTAACAGTATACTTGTGTTGCGTTGTCATTAGCAAAATCTAAGATCTTGCCATATTAACAATGATACGTTCACGTTGTGTTGTTAGCTTATTAAGTATTAGATGTGATTTATAAACTATACAACAATTTATATTTGACAGGTCTTTATAAAACTGGTGATGACAGGGAAATCACAGGAAAAGAAATGTATGTGAAAAAAAAATTCCCAAATTAGATTTTAGATCATTGCTGTATGACATAAACCGTCTTATCTGAGTCTCTTTTTTTTTTTTAAGGATCGATTCGCTAGTTCTTCCACACCTATGACATTATAATACTGTGAGTTACGAGAATTTTATTGTGCATCAGAACTAATGGATTGCCTTCTTTTTTTAGTTCCGTCCTCAGTGTTACCGATTTGGCTTTCACTCATGGGCATGTATATTTGGATTTTAATTTTCTTCACAAGGCCTCATAAGGTAGTGGGACTAGATTACTAATTAATTTTTAAAAATATGTATATGTTATGTAAAATTGGATTAAAAATAAAGTAGTTTGATGTAGGTTTTTATTTACGAGTAGTCCGTCCTTTTAAATAAATATATTTAAGTTCACTCGAAAGATCAGTATAAACTGTAACAAGCTCATCGTTGATGCGCGGCCAGTACTTCAAATCTGACTGACACTCGATGCCAAAACTCAACCTCGTTCCCTGGATATGCCACCACATTACTTTACGCTGCGCGCTATTGTGCATTTTCTTGCACAGGAAAAACCAAACGGAATTTGTGATTCTGGCCCTTAATGGTCAGAATAATAACTAGGACTTTGTCTCTGACGAAGGAACGGCAATAAGCACAATTTTAATCTACGAGCAGGTCGTTGTTTGGTCTCATCATGCAATGTTGGAGAGAGAGAGAGCGTTGCGTGACAAGTTCAAATTAGGGCTGTGGAGGGGACTGCAGGAAGCGTTGTACCAATGCAGTTTATTTTTGCCAACAATTATTCAGACACCAGTCTGAAATAATTGAAATAGTGTCCTATTTCAACCTACGTATGTAACAGTAGCTCCATCATAAGAAGAACGTGATCTTTTAGTTATTGGTTGCGTTTTTTTTTTTTCTAAACAGGAGGAAAGATTTCTGTTTCCAATCTATCCGTTCTTCTGTTTATTCGGAGCTGTAACTCTCACCAAGGCACAAGTAAGTGCAATAAAATGATTTTATCATACTCGCAACCAAAAGTGGAGGGAAAATGTAGCTTGCAGTCAACTATTTTCTTTTTCTGTTCAAGTTTGTACCCCTTTCCACGTAGCAGCACTTGCTTCCATATTAGTCACTACTTTGTTGGATACAGTTATCATCCTTAAACTAGATCAGGAAATGTTATGGGATTTAATTCTGGGTCTCCGAAAAATGAAACTTTCCTGCTTTTAATTTTTCTTTTTTTTTTTTTTTGTGGGAAAGGACACCTGCAAGCGAAGAATAAACGCTGCTCATTTTATTTTGCTAAATTTATTTTAAGTAGCATTGGTTAGCTTTTTAAAAAAAAAAGTCTAAAGCAACCATTTAAATGATGCGAGGACGATGATTTTTTTTGTATCCTTTACAGAAAATTTTCCATGGGCTTTTCTTTAGCGGTAGCAGACGTCACTACTCGGCCTCCTCCACATGGTTTGCAGTCTCTGTCTGTGTAGTGTTCTCAGTTTTATCTTTGTCAAGATCAAGTGCTCTATATTATGGTGAGATCTCCACCACTGACACAGTTCATTAATATGTACGTGCTAAAGGGCTATTTTTGGAGGAATGATAGTTGACTTGTAGTCTGACACTTGAAGAAGGCTACGGATAGATCCCCTTCTACATTCATGAAAAGACCGTTGTCTGCACCTGTTGGAGAAAGGTTGTCGGGAGAAAGCGCACGTGAAACAGGTGTTTTGGTTGGTTTTCAGGGAAGTCTTAGAAAACGCCACTGTAAGGACGAGGCATCGTGGGATTGATGAATTTATTTAATTACAGATTTGACTTATTAAAATTCATCGATTAGCGACTACCCAGATCACCTTTCGAGATTGTTGCTTGTGCTTTTTTCCCCGTTTCCGACAACCTTTCTCGAAACAGCTGCATAACAATTGGATTAAGAGCTATACGGTAAATTCCAACTGCGTGTTAGTTGATGAAGGCGAAGCCCGAATGAGAACTATCACGCATAGAAATCGAGAGCGAATGATCTACTTGTTTCCTCGTGAAGCCACTAGCCGTTCAAAAGACACCAACAAGACACGTTCTACTCACTTACTCACTGGCTATCTATCACGGAATAGATAGTGTGTGGCAAAGCTAATCAGTTTACTATATCTTTTACTGAAAAGATGTCTCCGAGGTTTAGAGTGAGCCTCAGTAATATTTTCCTACGCGAGGAGCTCCTTGTGTGTCGACTCCCCTGAAGAAAAAAAAGTCTTTTGTCTTGATAAATCCTGTATTTAGTCCGATAACAATAAAGTTGGTTAATAGTGCACAAGGCTTGTTGTTCGCAAGTCCTTTGGTAATACTTCACATGTTACGTCAAAAGATTTTGATAAGATCAGGTATCAAATTCTGCAGTTGATCTTGAATAGATAACAAGTACCATGGCATAACTTACAACATTTTTGAACGCTAGTAGAGTTTTACTGGAAAGGTTTTGCTGAGGTGTAAAGTACGCCTAATCATATTTCCTTATACACGGACCTCCGCACACATCCGCTCCGCCAAAAGAAAGAGTCATTTACCTTGCTGAATTCTGTATTTAGTCCGTTAGCAATTCATTGGTTTAGTAGTGCACAAGGCTTGCTGTTTGCAAATCCTTTGGTAATGCTCCACAGCGACGTATCACATGCGGTGTCAAATGATAGCAGAGATAAAATTCTTCAACGGTGATCTTGAATAGAAATACGAAAATCGTAATGGATTTCTCGGAGCTTCAAACTGACATTCTTAGCTTCTTTTTTCTGTCTTTGTGGTTACCTAGGTTACCACGCGCCAATGGAACTGTTTATTGAGCTAAACCACATTTCCTCTAAACTTGAGGAGCCCCTCCCTCAAGACAAACAAATCAACCTGTGTGTTGGAAAGGAGTGGTATAGATTTCCCAGCAGCTTTTTTCTGCCCTCGGAAAGGTAATTATTGAGACTGTTGAGGCTACTTTAACCAGTCCAATTTTGCTCGCAGTTCCTTGAAATAAAGAATATGCTAATCTGGTAAATAAATGTTGAAAAGACGCTTGGAAAAACTCGTGTTTCCTCTGAATTCGAACTGTGCCTCCCAGATACCGATTGGGCGCTTCTACTGACTGAGCTTCGAAGCCACATGTTGGGAGCAAGGTAAATTTTTAACGAGCTCTCTATAACTTTACATACGGATGATAAGCAAGTGAGTATATGACCCTCGCTGGTGAGATGAGGACACCAGAAGGAATGTGATCTGACATCCCTGACTGACCTGATGAGGGATAAGTTTGGTCTAATACTCTGCCCAATTCTTCGTCCCAAGGGTTTCTCGGGAGCCTACTACTTTCTCTGAGAGCTGTCAGCTTTGGCTCGTTACTCTAACCTCTTGCTGGAGACTGAAGAGAAAAGAATTATCTCTTGTAGGATAAATTTCCATCATTTTTATTTTTCCTTGTTGTAGGTGGCATCTGCAGTTTATTCGATCTGAGTTTCGAGGCCAGTTACCAAAGCCTTATGCTGACGGACGTAATGCTACAAAAATTATACCAACACACATGAACGACATGAATAAAGAGGAGCCAACAAGATATGTAAGTATATAGACACCATGGCCCAGTTGTTAATTTTTCTCCGCATCGTGCTGGCCTGATATTTATCCATTGTGGAGGGAGTTGCAACGCAAAGTCTAACAAGCTTAAATTTCCTCGTATCGTGGAGCTCTTAAGGTCGAAACATTCGCTGGGATCAGTGCCTGCAACGCGACGCACAACACGTCTTAATGGTTGAACTTTTGAAAATCTTTGTCCCTGCGATAGAATTTGTGTCCGAAACAAGTCACCGTATTTCAAACTGTTTTGTACTTTAACATGCGATCAGAGCAATAAAATGGGTTGATGCAACCTGTTTCGGGAGAAATATAAAGATAGCCGTTTGACACAGAGACCTGTCGCAGCAACTTGTTGACGTAAAAATCGTGATGTGCTCAGGCCTTATTACATGTTTTTATTTTTCTGTATCTTGTACAGATGTCCATCTCAAAATGCGACTTCCTCGTGGATTTAGAAACTGAAAAGGAAACTGAACTTGAACCAGACTTTGTGAAACGAACCAAGGACTGGGAAGTGGTACTTAAAAAGCCGTTTCTGGATGCAGAAAGGTAGGTAATTGTGTAGACGTACTGACAAACCAGTTAAAAAGTCCATTTGTGTTGATCAGCCGTGATTTGAGGTTGCTGAGCAACGTAATTTGATGGACGTTTTGTCATCCTTCAACTGCTTGCAGTATTAACAGAGTCTGCGCCCAGGCCACCAGAGAGCTTGTAATATCCTTTGATTTCATTTATGTGGTTTAGAAAACAAATAACATCAGCAATTGCTTATTTTGCTCTTTACTATTTTCACCCTTTTTAGTGTTGATCATTTGCGAAAAGTTGTTTTTTAATTGAAAACTTGACTGTCCTTCCTCTCGTGTGTGACATTTGATTGTCTGAAACTTTTCTGACCAGGAAATGAAAAATTGAATGACGTCTACCTTCAAATATTGGCGAAGTCTCATCTGTGTGGTGGTCCTATCATGCAGCTCCACAGTTTCGCAGTTAACTGACAGTTTGCATTTCATAGCTCCACAGACCTGAATATTTTGTCGATGGTACTTTTGGATACATATTGTAACCTTCTGTGACCTCGTGACGTTTTCAAATACCTTAAGATGTCCCTTACTCTCTTACTAATTTTTCCCTTTGGATGTGTATATTGTTGAATATCAAAAGAGAGAGAGCTGTCGGCCTCGGTCGTTCGAAGGGTGATGAACGCTGTTCATTAGGTAGATCTCTTTCCGGAGGATAGCGCAGTACGTTTTGTCAACACCTACCCGCTGAATAGCGGTCTATCCGCTGGATGGCGTGATTCGCCCTCTGATCATCTAGGCCCTAACTGAATATTTTCCTAACAGGCCGAAGCAAACCAGCTTCTGCCAAAATTTTTGCTTTCTGCCTGAACAAAGGTCTCCTGGTAGCATAAGTTTCCTCGTCATGGGATTGGGATCTTACGCAACTCTGTTTATCTTTCCACAGATCTCACCGACTATTTAGAGCGTTTTACATTCCCTTTGTCTCCTACCGCTATACAAGATATTCAAACTACGTTTTGTTGAGATCACTACGAAAGACGAGTACCAAGGCAAAGAAAGGAAGAGATTGAAAACTTGTTGTCAAGGAAAACGATGAAAAAGTTTAATGAACACTGTATTCAGAAAGAGGCATAGCTGTTGCCTTGTTTTCAAACACATTTGATTTGTTGGCCAACTCCGTCATCTTCGGCCTTGACGTTTCCCTCCAAAAAGTAGTCGTATAGTTTCGTGTCGTGTCGTTTTGCTTTCGAGTATCTTCGGACAAGATTATTTCGTGCCGAACCTTCTTGAACATGCTAATGAACTTACGACAAGCACGTTTTCATTGAGGCATTTCCGAGACACTCGAAGCCTCTGTTTCAAAGCGAGGGTCAATGATAAAAACTTTGAGCTTGAAATGATCTGTTATTCTCGTGCAGTTTAAATACCACATCGCAAGTAAAAGCTTGCTTTTGGCCTCAATCTGTGAGGTTAAAGTGACTTCAAATGGTCTATTGATTTTACAGGGAAGTTGCATGAGTTAAAGTTCATTCTGGCTCAGCGCTCTGATCTCGGATATTACAAATATTTTACAGATAAGATGACCGCTCTTATATTTACACATCAGATTGACGTTGAAAGAAATGGGAAAGTCACGCTGTGAGGTTAATAAAAGAAAGATGTTGAAATCAGACTCAATACTTAGAACAGAATTTTTTTAGGAAGATACCGGTTGGATATAACTCGCCCTTGGTTCTTGGCTATCAATGTGAAAACGCAAACAGTCCGAACAATCCCGTGCGATTTTTATGTCCTTTCTTCCAAGATCTCATCGTCTAGAATGGGTTATTTCGTACTCTTACTTTTACCCACCACACTTCATATTCGAGGAAAGATCTGGTCTTAAACGTTCCTCTCAGCTAGAACTTAAGCACTTACTGATGTGCGCAGTTAATTCCGTGACCACGAGAGGGCATCATTGCGTTGGGAATGGAGACGTCTCTCTTGTCTCATTGCCCACACAACTTAAACCAACCTTAATAAATACTTTACACTTTCCAGGTTAAGCGTTTGAAACTGTTGATAGATGACGATTCTCAGGTGTCCTTATAGTCATCTATCAACAGTTTAAAACGCTTAACCTGGAAAGATCTCCAGTATCAGTTATTTTAGGTCTACCTAAAATCCTCAGTCCCTAAAATCCTCAGGTTACATGTGCATCCTTGGGGCGTTTGGTGTCAAAATGAGACTTCCATTACAAAGTTTGGCCATTGACTGTCATCTTGCTAGTTATCTTGTTTTATCGATGAATAGGAACAATATTGAAAACTAAATAACTGTAATCAGATATTAGCTCTTCTAATAGAGACTCAATAAGACACCAGACACTAAAAAGCAGCATAATTTCGTGAGCAACACGTGTACGCATTGCGGACCTATTTTTAAGGCAGCTTACCATACGTGTCGGATCTCTAGACGTCCCAAGTTACAATGACTAAGTGGAGATAATAATACCCTTGGCAGTGAGTGCAAATTCAGTGCTGTCAGTCAGAGCAGGTAAGGCTCCAGCAGGTAAGGTTTTACAATAATTACATGAGAAGGAATGTCTCCAAATGTGGCCGGCATAGGAAATTGGACGGCAAATTTGGAAAGAAAATCTTAAGCCTTTAAATGTAACAGAATTTCAGGTTAGAAAAATAAAAGAATGAAACAAATGTAACTAAGACTTTATCTACACGGAGTAACTTTGTCCCTTAATTTACAATTAATAGGAAAAATGTCCATGCTAAGCGGCACGAAGCGTTACTGTAAGCAGGTAGCTTGCGTGACTTTAATAAATAATATGCAGAATTTAAAACGTTACTGTCTACGGGGGTCCAGCTTTTCCTGCAAATAATCAGTTTCTAATTGGTGAGTATTTATCTTTGCACACGTTTAGATGTGTGCCAAATATTACTAAGTGCAAAACACTATGAATCACACCGACATCAAAGAGATCCCTCAATCCTGCATTCAGTGTTGCAATTAGGCCGGGGTAACATACATCTATGAACGATATCTTAGAAGCTATCAAATTAATTGTGTCAAATTATTGCTTTTTCAATTTTCTTTTTAAATTAAAATGTCTTTACAGAGATTTTGAATAATCAAGATAAACGTGTGAAACCGGGGAAAAGAAATATAACGACACAACAGGTGACCTCCTAACCGCCGAAGTCATTCGAGTTGTTTACTCATTGTGCGGGAACTAATTTATTTACTCATGAGTCGTCATGAAGTATATGGATACGAAAAACTGATTTGCAACGGTTGGAAGCGTAAATCCTATTAGATTTTGAAAGGACTCTCGACTTAGCAAGACGATGAAGACAGCCGCAACTGTGTGTGCCACTCAGTGTCTCATCGCAAATATAAATATTGTCGTTAGCCCTTTCGCTCCGACGAAGGGCTAACGCTCGAAACGTCAGCTTTTGTAATCATTACGGTGGCCAATTTACCATTTCAACTTTGTTGATATATCCAAATTATTTCGTTACTGCCACCGACGCAGCCCCAAACAGTTTCTTTCGAAACTATCAGCCTTTATTCATAAATATTGTCGACCTTGTCGAATTTTATAGCCGTGTAGGCTCCCTGTTTTTTACTGGAAATGTTTCACAGAACAACTCAAAAAGACACTGGGAAGTTGAATTCATTTCCATAGCTGCAGATGGAATGGAAGTAACGGTGAGTCGTTGTTTCCGGTTTTGAACCGTTGACTTCCAAAGAATAACCTTGTGATTTGCATAAAACTGAACTGGCTTACTCGCAGTAACATTTTATTTTACTGACGGGGAACATTTTAATTCCCCAGAGCTATAACTTTTCTGGTGGAAAAAAAAAAAAATCACTAAGGCCTCTTAAATGCAGATATTTTGGCCAGATGGCCTATACCGGAGGCCATTATTTATACTAGTCAAAGTTGGCCTTTATTTGTTCCTTGCCAAGAAACGCAAATGGCGGCTGTACAAATACCCTTCGTTCAAAAGCTACAAACAAAACTTCATGAAAATTATTATACGATTTTAAAGTATAAGAATGAAATAATATTTGTGGCAAGTTTCGTTTTTATAGGATTGTTTAACGCCCCCGCCGTTTTCGTCAATAGCGTGATATTTTAAACATTTTAAGACCCGAAAACGGTCATTATATGCAAATTTCGAACTTTTTTAAATTTTGGCCGTAAAATGAATCATAGGAACTTTAATTAAACTATTTTTCCTTGAATAAGCTCACTCAAAGGTATGTTTTGGCGAAATAAAAGAGAAATCAATTTTTTGTGACTGTCTCCTAATTCTCGACATTCTGAGATCACTCTTAAAGTTTGAACCTCGTGTCGTAAACTTCAGGGAAAAATCGTGCTCGTAATTTTAGATCGCACTCGTGCTTCACGCTGAACGGATTTTAAAAATTACCCTAATGATTCTAATAATATTACCGCGCCGTCAGAGCACGTATCAGACTGAGGTTTTCATCTCCCTTATTAATAGCTCACACGCCCAATGCCGCATTGAAAAAACAGGGGCCTTCGTGTGAGTTTCTCAACTGTTATGTCCATGTGAGTGCATAATTCGTTCAAACGAATGATCTCTATCGGGGTCGAAATCGATTAAAACTGTCTCACGTTAACTGAACATTCACTGTTTATTTGTTACTGTCACAATATCTGTTATTCTCTTTTTTTTTTAATAAATACCAATACTGAACCGAAACAGCCACAAAGAGTCATTTGAAATATCTAAGCATAATGACTATGTGGGGCTATTTGTTTCCTGTTTTGTGGAGGACACGTATCAGACGAACCACATTCCCAAATAAGCACTCTTTAGTACGTGTTCGATACTGAAAGAAACGGAACGGAGGAATTCGAAGTTTTGAACTACTTAAGTGTGCTCAGTGAACAAGAAATATGCCCAAGAATCCATTATAAGTCTTTTCGAAGTAAACATTTTCATCGTCCAGTGCTCCATCGCACACCTGAGCGAAAGCGGCAAACTGATTCATTACGGCATCGCGCTGTTTCTGTTTTTGCTAACATCGTCAGTTATACAAGAGTGGCGAAGATGATCCGACAACATAACAAACCTGCTTCGATCGGTGATGATCCAAAGGCGGGCCAAAGGCACAAACTTTATAGTCATCAGCGCACACGAGATTAAACTAGCGCAGTAAATCTCTCTTCGCAGTTGTCTTCGCCTCCATGATCCTCTGGATTCCATTGTGGGTCATTGTTTTTTTACGGCACTTCCATCTGGTGGAGACGATGCCACGAAATGTTGAGCTCCACTGTAAGTTTCTTCATCTTTACTTCTCGAACACAATCAACCCATTAATATAGGCAGGAATGAATCCTATATTCGGAAGAAAATTTCGTAAAATTCTTGCAATAGAAAACTAAAAGTTGCTGTAGTGTCTGAAGTTGAAACGCCCCCCTGTCTTTACACAAGCTGAAGATGTCGAGACTCGTAGCAGAGATTTACAACGAAGCTGAACGTGGAAACAAAACGCCTCAGCTCTGATGAAGAGTGCTTTTTCTGATGGGAACGAAATTTAAGAAGTAAAAGATCCGCACAGACAACCGGGAGTGTTCACACTAGGCAAGCTTCTGATAACTGCTGATGAGGACAAAAATGTGATCGATATCCTGCTGGAATATAATTAAAGGCGTTTGTTCACACTAAATAGTATCTCAAACAATTGATAAATAAGGAACATAATACACTAGCTCTTTCTTACACTGATAAGAACTTCTTATTCCGGGCTGAGGCGGAAGGCACGTTTTGCCGGAAGATTGCTGATGGAAAGTCTACTATTTTGCACGCGAAATTCTACATCTCTATCATGCTAAAACCTGAATGATACGCGGAAATGAAAATTAAGCCTGGACGGCGCTCTACAGTGGAGCCCAAATCTACCTATCTGGTAAACTTACCGTTTCTAGAACATTTGCTGGTCGGTGAAATAGGAATAATTAGTATTTAGCGGGGGTGGACTCAAGTATTCTCTCAGATTCTCTCTCTCTTTTTCTTAAAAATAAAATAATAAATTCTCAAAAAATAACTGTCGCAAAACACGGTCCAAGTTTCGAAAGTACAGACTGGAAGAAATGTTTTCAACAATATGCTAACGAATATGTAAACGTCAACGATGACATCTCCACTGATGAAAGCGAAATAAAAGGATTAACATGTGACGCTGATAGCTGAAACCTAGCTAAAAATAAAATGAAAAGCCTTTGCTGATGCTTTATAGTAAACCCCAGAGCAGTGGGATTAATTTGATGTTAAGCTTGGCGCCTTTGTTTTAATGATGCCGGACGATTTGAGCTCACGAAGTCTAGGTTTGATTGTTGTAGAAGTAAGCTTCCTCATAACCTTGAACATTTTCTCTCTGATTGGAAACGCCTTGGTTTGTATTTCGGTTTACAAGAATACTCGTCTCCGAACGACAACAAACTTGTACATTATCGCTTTGGCCATTAGCGATTTGCTCTCTGCTGTGTTTGTGATGCCCGTAAGCACGAGCGTACTGATAGCGGGCAATTGGATTCTCGGTGAAACGCTTTGCCAACTTCACGCCTTCTTCAGCCTGTTTGTTATCTACGTTTCTCCTGTTACTATGGCCTTTACAGCAGTTAATCGTTATGTGAGGATTTGCAGGTCGGACCAGCAGTACAGGAGACTGTTTTCAGGGAGAAAGCCGAGCACTTGGCTTGTCTCCGCGTGGGCTTTTGTTGCATGTTACGCGGCGGTTCCTCGATTGCTTGGTCTTCAGGCGTACGAATTCGTCTCAGGCTACGCCCAGTGCTCTATTGCACACCTCAGCGAAACTGGCAAAATTATTAACTACGGCATCGTCGTTACGTTGTTCTTTTTAACACCGTTGATAGCCACTACATTCAGCTACACAAAAGTCGCGAAGATGATCCGACAGCACAATGCCTCTGCATTTACGACGATTCAAAGACAAGAAAGCGCTCGGGAAAGAAGCCGTAAATGGCGAAAAAGCAAGGGTATCACCAATCATGAAATCAAAATCAGCAAGTCTCTATTCGCAGTCGTCTTCGCCTTCATGATCTGTTGGGTACCCTTCTGGATCATCGTTATTCTCCGTCGCTTTCGTCTTGTCGCAGTGATGCCTCGAAACGTTGAGCTCTTTTGTATGTTTCTCTTTTATTTGTCGAATGCAATCAACCCCTTCATATATGCTGGGATGAATCCCGTATTTCGAAGAGAATTCCGTAAGATTCTCCTCTGTAACCACTGCCATGAAGTTGACGTAGCTGATGACAGAAGAGCAAGGATGGAGGATGTACCAGAGACTCCAAATATGGAATTTTCTCAGTGCGTGCGCCGACCGAATTTCCATCATGATACTTCTTTGGTCAGTCTTTCTGTCGAAATGAGTGAAAATTGTGGAAAAAGGCCGATGGATCTTGGACTTGGGCCGTCTATATCACAAAGTACCTGTTGATAGAGGCGAATGATCAACTGGTTTATCTAAAAAACGTTGCGCTAGTATTGATCCTGCTATTCTTGGTTTTCATCGATAGAATAAAATATCTTTGCACGCATGAAAAAAATTAAGAAACAAAGTAGGTGAACAGCAGGTATAAAGAAACATTTTTAGAGTAATTTTAGGCTCAGTCAGTAGCGGTCGAAAGAAATTTTTAACCAAAACGATTTTCAGAAAATTACAAGACTTAGTATGGATCCGCCATGTTGGTGTCCCTTTAAAGGATCCTAACATGGCCACTGAGGAAGTGGATTAAGAAATAAACTTGACAGGTATTATCATTATCATCATCATCATTATCATCATCATCATTATCATCATCATCATTATCATCATCATCATTATCATCATCATCATTATTATCATTATCATTGTCATTATCCTTATCCTTATTATTATTATTATTACCATTATTATTATGGCAGTAAAAAGTTCTGGATGCTCAGGTATCCTAAACAATTATTCGGCGGCAAGCCGTAGCCAATCAATGCAACGACCAAAGTCCTTACAATTAAAATTCCTATAGCAATTCTTAATTATGAAACCCTAAACTTAACTGCTATGTAGTAAAGACCTCAATCAAAATACTAAAGGTTCCATACGTCACTACTGAAACGCTTAAATGTAATAAAACATCTAATATTTCTTATTTCAATCTTAAAGCGCCTCACCATATTGAGGAAACTATGGTAATTCTCTTATCATTATAATCATTATTGTTATTATCATTATTATTATTATTATGGTAATTTTTTTTTATTCTGTTTGAGTTTGTTTTGAAAGTCGGTTTCAATTCTTACTTGTGGAGGTAATGGATCAGGGCCAACGTCTTCGTAACTGTCAAACGACGTGATCGTATAACTCTGCTGCGGCATAGAGCGGTTTTCGAATGAGTGTCGTAATTACTCTGAGTCGCGATTGGTTTTGGTTTTCTTTCTCATTGGTTGAGAGACAAGCGCGAGTTCTACAGTCTATAACTATAAAAAGTACGAAATAAAGCAGGACCAAAGCGAACGAGAATTACTTTCAAGGACAACCTATTGCAAACTGCTCTAACAACCTAGGGAACTGATATGCAGCTCAGAATAGCAGGGGTGCAATTCTCGGAGGGAAATAAAAGCAATAGTTGATAAGTTAAGCGCCTTCAATTCCTTGTCCACGTTATTTTTAGCAAGTCAAGTATGTTCTGAATAAAAGATTTTACAACAATGTTGTTTCAACAGAATTATAATAATTATGGACAGATGATTTCAAGCTAGATGGCAAAATTACTCTTAGTCCCATACCATTTCGCTCAATGAAAGAAAAAGAAAGAAAGAAAGGTACCGACAAAGTGATTAACATTTAGAAGAAGTTTCAAGGGCATTGTTGATACTACAAATCTCGCAAGTAAAGTGACGTAGTGTTAGCCTGAATTGTTGATAGCAAACATATTGGTAAATATGACGCCAACCGCCAGACCATAACAAACTGGTTATAATAATCAAAATACACTTAAAAGGGTCCTTCGTTAAAATTGTCTGAAACTAACGGATAATAAATTTAAGATCAGTTTTCTTTTGCAGAAACTTTGAAGAGATTGGAGTACCTTCTTAACACCATTAGTTAACTATGGTTATAGTGCGGTGAGGAAAAGGTGAATGAGTTCGGATTGGCTTGTGTCACGACTTGGGAAGGGCAAGAAATATAGAATGACTCAAAGAAATTAATTGAACTGAAAAGCGCGCGCTTTCTACACAGAATAATTCTATAGTTCTCTATATTTAATAATCTTGGAACGCCAACGTACAAAATATTGAAAGCAAATTTGATTTGACCAGCTTCCATTACGAGAAATATTTTAAAGTTATTCAGCACACATGTACTCTGTACAGCACAGCGCTTGCTTTTCAACATTTTTTTGTGCTTGAAATTGGTAAATAGCTTGTGATTATTCACTCCCTAGGCTGTCAGACGCGATTAATGATCCAAGATAATCATAACTGTAGAAAGGCGTGCTTTCCAGTTGAATTAATTTCTTGAACATTCTGCATATATCGCATTCCACCAGAGTTAAAAGAGGGAACATATGTACTTCTATAAATATTATCCATACGTCCCCCACAGAGGGGATTTTTCTTAAGACCCCCTCCCAACACTCTGGAAATTGCAATTAAGGTTCATACATTTCCTTGAAGTTTTTGGCCTTTGAGATCCCCCCTTTCCCAAGAATTTCCAACCCTTTCTTTAAGCGGAGTATGGACATTTTCTGGAACTACACAATGCCAATTAGGTTGTAGCCTTGCTTCTGCAGTCCTACAAGTTTACATTCTCCTGTCT